AAACCAACTTGGTTTCTTTCTCCCTGTCACTTTCAGGTACATCAATCAAACATAAATTTGGTCTTTTCACATAATCCCGTATTTCTTGGAGGCTTTGTTCATTTCTTTTCCCTCTTTTTTCTCTAATATTGTCTTCTCACTTTATTTCATTGAGTTGATCTTCAATCTCTGATATTAGGAGAAATACCTAATGTAGATGATGGGGTGATGGATGCAGCAAACCACCATAACATATGTATACCTATGTAACAAACTTGCACGTTCTACACAGGTACCCCAGAACTTAAAGTATAATAATTTAAAAAAAAAAAAAACCCTTCAATGGCTAGGCTGGGTGCAGTGGCTCATACCTATAATCCCAGCACTTTGGGAGGTGGAGGTGACTGGGTTGGCTGAGGTCAGGAGTTTGAGACCAGTCTGGCCAACATGGTGAAACTCTATCTCTACAAAAAATACAAAAAAAAAAAAAAAAAAAAAAAAAAATTAGCTGGGTGTGGTGTTGTGCACCTGTAATCCTCACTACTCAGGAAGACGAGGCAGGAGAACTGCTTAAAGCAGGGAGGTGGAAGTTGCAGTGAGCTGAGATAGCGCTACTGCACTCCAGCCTGGGTGAAAGAGTAAGACTCTGTCTCTAAAAAAATAAAATAAAATAAAAATCCTTCAATGGCTAATCAGAGCTTTCAGAATAAAAACTAAAAAAAAAAAAAAAAAAAAGAAAGATCATTCATCATGCCGAAGTGGGATCTATCCCTGGGATTCAAGGATTAACATACACAAATCAATCACTGTAATACATCCTATCAACAGAACGAAGGGGAAAAAAATCATATGATAATTTCAAAGCATTTGATAAAATCCAACATCACTTTGGCTAAAAGCCATTAAAAAACTGGGGATAGACTAAATATAACTGAGTTGAAATACAGAAACCATATATGACAGATCCACAGCAAATGTCATAATTAATGGGGAAAAACGGAAAGCTCTTCCTCTGAGATCTGGAAAAAGGCCAGTATGACCACTGTAATCAGTGTTACTCAACATAGTATTGGATGATCTAGATACAACAATCAGACAGGCGAAAGATAAAAAGAAAATCCAAACTGAAAGGGAAGTAGTAAAATTATCCTTATTTGCATATGATATGATATTATATCTGGAAAAGTGTAAAGACTACCCAAGAAAACTATTAGCACTGATAAATTTAGAAAGGTACAGGATACAAAATCAACATGCAAAAATCAGTACAATTTTTATTTGCCAACAGTGAACAATCAGAAAAAGAAAGAAAATATAATACCATTTGCGACAGCCACACATAAAAGTAAATATCTAGGAATTAATTTAACCAAAGAGCAAAAGATCTTAATAAAAGATTAGTGAAAACTATAATACACTAATAAAAGAAACTAAAGAGATCAAAAAATAAAAAGAGATTCTATGTACATGGATTAGAAGAATAAATATTGTTAAAATGTTCATAGTACCCAAAGCAATTTATAGATTCAATACAATCCCTATCAAAATACTAATGGCACTCTACACAGAAATGGAAAAAATTATCCTAAAATTTATATGGAGCCACAAAAGACCCAGAATAAGAAAAAAGCAAAACTGGAAGGAATCATATTACCTGACCTTAAATTATATTACAAAGCTATAATAACCAAGACATCACAGTACTGGCATAAAAACAATCACATAGACTAATGGAACAGAATAGAGATCCCAGAAACAAATCCACATACCTACAGTGAACTCTTTTTCAACAATGAGGTCAAGAACATATACTGGGAAAAAGTCTCTCTTCAATATATGGTGCTGATAAAACTAAATATCCATATGCTAAAAAATGAAACTAGATCCCTATCTCTCACCATATAAAAAACAAAAATGCATTAAAAAATTAAATGCAAGACCTCAAACTATGAAACTACAAGGAAACACTGGGGAAACTCTCCAGGACATTGATCTGGGCAATAATTTCTTGAGTAACACTTCACAAGCATAGGTAACCAAAGCAAAAATGGACAAATAGAAGCATATCACATTAAAAGTCTTTTGCACAGCAAAGATGAATCAACAGAGTGAAGAAATAACCCACAGAATGGGAGAAAATATTTGCAGGCTGCCCATCTGACAAGGAATTAATGACCAGAATATTAAAGGAGCTCAAATAACTTTATAGGAAAAAAAAATCTAATAATCCAATTTAAAAATAGGTGAAAGATTTCAATTTGCATTTCCTACAATTCCTAGGTATTTACTTTTATGTGTGGCTATTGCCAATGGGATTATATTTTATTTCTTTTTCAGATTGTTCACTGTGGGCAAATAAAAATGGTACTGATTTTTGTATGTTGATTTTGTATCCTGTAAGAAATGCAAAAGATTTGCATTTCTAAAAAAAGACATGCGAATGGCAAGTAGGCATATGAAAAGGTGCTCAACATAATTAACCATCAGATAAATGAAAATCAAAACTACAATGTCATCTCATCCCATGTAAAATGGCTTTTATCCAAAGGACAGGTAATAACAACTGTAGTGAGGATGTGAAGAAAATGGAACACTGTATACTGCTAAGGCTGGAAAATCACTTCAACTAGGGAGCTGGAGGTTGCTGTGAGCTGAAATCATGCCACTGCACTGCACTCCAGCCTAGGCAACAGAGAGAGACTCTGTCTTAAAACAAACAAAAAACCCATTGAGTCATAAAATTAAATAATTATCTTGAATTTGAATTTATTGAAAGATTTGAATTTACTGAACTTGATATTGAAAAGTTTAATCAAATCAAGCTTAATGATTTGTTGTGATCTTTACATGTTATTGTTAACAACTTAACCAGTATTGTCTATCCTTCACTATTACTATCCAATTATTAAATCTTACTCATAAAACAAATAGTATATTCAGTTCTCAATAGATGATAAATTGCTTTTGAAAAAGAACACTATATTATGTTAGAAGATTAATATTCCATAAGACTTAGTAAAACATTAGAGATAGAAGAATGTAGAAATGCTCTGATTTTTAAAGAGTAAGTCGTTTTTTCATCATTTTAATGTAAATTTTTAATTAAAATTGGTATATTGTATTTTCAAAGGAACCCAGAAAAATATCTACTAAAAGACTGATATTTAAAATTGGTGAAGGCTTATAGGGAAAAGAAATTGCAACAAGGTAAAAAGATAATCCGTTATGCATACCAATGCTTATATACAGTGTTTTCTTATGTAGATTTTTAATGAACAGCACAGGAAAGGGATCCTTTTTGATTCTTCTAATATTTTTCTCAGAAATGCATTGCAAATGGCAGACAAATCTGATGGTGATTATCTGACACATATAAATTTTTAATGCAACTATGATAACCAAGAATTAAATAATATTCTAACATACCCAAAGATTCAATGGCATTTGAAAAAGCAATTATTATATTTGTTGGCTGCATAAATGTCTTCTTTTGAAAAGTGCCTGTTCATATCCTTTGCCTACTTTTTGATGGGGTTTTTTGCTTATAAATTTGTTTAAGTTCTCTGTAGATTCTGGATATTTAGCCCTTTGTCAGATGGACAGCTTGCAAAATTTTTTCCCATTCTGTTGGTTGCCAGTTCACTCTAATGATTGTTTCTTTTCCTGTGCAGAAGCTCTGGAGTTTAATCAGATCCCATTTGTCTATTTTGGCTTTTGTTGCCATTGCTTTTGGTGTTTTAGTGCTTGCCTATGCCTATCTCCTGAGTGGTATTGCCTAAGTTTTCTTCTAGGGTTTTTATGGTGTTAGGTCTTTTGTTTAAATGTTTAATTCATCTGGAGTTAATTTTTGTATAAGGTGTAAAGAATCAGTCCAGTTTCAGCTTTCTACACATGGCTAGCCAGTTTTCCCAACGCCATTTATTAAACAGGGAACCCTTTCCCCATTGTTTGTTTTTGTCAGATTTGTCAAAGATCAGATGGTTGTAGATGTGTGGCATTACTTCCGAGGCCTCTGTTCTGTTCCAATGGTCTGGGTTTCTGTTTTGGTACCAGCACCATGCTGTTTGGATTACTGCTGTCTTATAGTATAGTTTGAAGTCAGATAGCATGATGCCTCCAGCTTTATCATCACTGGTCACTAGAGAAATGTAAATCAAAATCACATTGAGATACCATCTCATGACAGTTAGAATGGTGATCATTAAAAAATCGGTAGACAACAGATGCTGGAAAGGATATGGAAAAATAGGAATGCTTTTACACTGTTAGTGGGAGTGTAAATTAGTGCAACCATTGTTGAAGACAGTGTCATGGTTCCTGAAGGATCTAGAAATAGAAATACCATTTGACCCAGTAATCCCATTACTGGGTATATACCCAAAAGATTACAAATTGTTCTATTATGAAGACACCTGCACACCTATGTTCACTGCAGCACTGTTTACAATAGCAAATGGTTGGAACCAACCCACATGTCCATCAAGGATAGACTGGATAAAGAAAATGTGGCACATATATAGCACGGAATACTATGCAGCCATAAAAAAGGATGAATTCATGTCCTTTGCAGGGACATGGAGGAATCTAGAAACCATCATTCTCAGCAAACTGACACAAAAACAGAAAACCAGACACCTCATGTTCTCATTCATAAGTCGGTGTTAAACAATTAGAACACATCAACCACAGGGAGGGGAATATCACACACTGGGGTCTGTTGGGGGTTGGGGGACTAGGAGAGTGATAGCAGTGGGTGGCGAGGTTGGGGAAGGATGACATTAGGAGAAATATCTAATGTAGGTGAAGGGGTGATAGAGGCAGCAAACCACCATGGCATGTGTATACCTATGTAGCAATCCTGCAAGATCTGCACATGTACCCCAGAACTTAAAGTATAATTAAAAACACACACACACACAAAAAAAAAAAAAAAAAAAAAAAGAAAGAAAGAAAAAGCAATTCTTCCCCAACCCTTACCAAGATGCTAAGTCTTTGTGAAGGTGAAAAATGTCATACTATACCTTGATTTCTTCTATTTCGTCTGGTACTATCTTGTATGCTGATATAGTCCCACCCAACCTGAAATTAGAAGAAAATATTCTCAAAACCAACAATAGTGTTTAAAAAATATGGAAGATTTCTGCCATTACCATCAGAATGCTAACAATAATTCCTGGTATTCACCCCAACAAGCATGGAGGGAAAACAACCATTTTGTGCATATGTTTTCCATTTATTAGTTTAAAAGAGGTAGATAATGAATGACTACTGAAAATGTTAAGTTAGATTTTTAACCATAACTACACTCCTCTTATTGATGTCATTAATAAGCTGAAACCGTCACTTTTACCACTGTATTCTGTCACAGCTAACATGCATGAGGAACTGATGGCAAACATGATGTTTGCTTTTTTTAAAAAAAGAAATCATAGCTTTTACTTCTTATAGTAGTTTTAGGATTACAAAAAAAATGAGCAGAAATTAGAGCATTCACATATTCCCTCCCTTCCTTCCCCACAACCCTGTTTTCCTGATACTAACATCTTGCATTAGTGTGGTAATAACATTTGCAACAACTGTTGAACCAACATTGATTTTGCTTCTTTTTTAAAGTAATTTCAACAGGGAGTCAGAGAGATGTGTGTGCCCAGCACTGTCCAAGGGGAAGAGATGAGAATTTGGGAGTTACAGATAATTTAATCCTTAAAATGTTCTTTGTTTTGAGACAGTTGATGCCATTATATGTCATATTCACCTGTTTGGAATATTTATTAGAAAGCAACTAAGCTTTATATAAAATCATGGTTCAGGTATGTATCATGTATATTATCTGATTTAATCCTTGCAATTATCTCTATTATAAAAATTGGGAAATTGAGACATAGAGACATTCAGCAATTCTTAAGCAACTGAAACTAGCTAATGAATGAGTTGAGAGGTATGTAAGTGTAAAATACACACCAGATTTTGAATACTTAGTATTAAAAAAAGAACAATTTTAATGTATTGAGCACATGTTATAATAACATTTTAGATATTTTGGGTTAAATATATTATTAAAGTTAATTTCATCTGTTTATTTTTACTTTTTAAGATGTGGCTACTTAGAAACTTTAAAATTACATACAGGGTATTTGTGGGTCCCATTACATCTCTATCAGGTACTCTAGGCTATTAAACTCCAAATTACTTAACTGCTTTTGTTCCAATTCAATGCTTACAAAGGAACCTTGTGAATACTTATTTGAGCTTATAGGTATACCTCGGTAACAAAAAAAGGAGTATCATACATAAGAGACTTAAGTATTCTAGATCCTTTAGGATATCTCCTCTCCCAAATGTAAAATAATAAATACCATTCTGGTTTCTATTTAAAAAAAAAACCAACCAAATGATTTTTATTAAACATGCATTAAGACGCTTTAATATTTATTACCACTTATTCTTACTAATGAAACTAGTGTTCAAATATTGATTTGAGAATTGTTTCTTATTGATTTATTTTATTTTTTCCCTGCTCCCCGAGAATTATTTCTTAGATTTAAAGTACCATGATTGAATGGTGGAAACAAATGAATTTTAACTTAATTCACTTTATATAAGGTATATCAGTGATGTAGTAAACAAGATCACTCTAAGATAGCTATATGATCAAGTGGCTAAAAAATAGAATAAACTTGGAAGGCTTCCATATTATGCTAAACATAGAAATGAGAAAGGAGATAAAAGTTGATATAAACACCAGAAAAAAAATCCCAGAAACTAGAAATAATCTAGAAAAAAACTAATAGAAACAATGGAGTCATCTATATTACTAAAAGCACCTGTTCACTAATAAATCTACTTCAGCCCATCATTTCTTTCTATTACCTGACTATAACCAAAATAATAACTTTACCAACTAGTAGTTTTGACCTCTGAACTGATTTCTGAAAATGACATTTCTGTTTTCATGACTTCATTAAACACAGATAGTTTAATATGCTATCAGTATTTCAGTTACTGCACTCAGGCCTAGATAATAACTCACTCCAAATTTCATGTTCTGTTACATTGCACTGTCCTTCTCATTGTTGAAAAAAGAATTCACTCTGGGGAAAAACAGAGTTCTATTTTACTATAGTCAATATGTAAAAATAGTATTACATTGGCAGTGATAGTGGTAGTAGTAGTTGAAATACTACTACAAGTAGTATATTTAGCACTTACTAAGTGCCAGGCATTATGTTATACTTTACATGTATTTTCTCATTTAATTCTTATAACCTATACAAATTATTATGAAAAATATCAGACAAGTAATTTTTCAAAAATCCCACAGTTAGGAGTGGCAGAGCTGGGCTTAAGAATGCAGTTCTACAAATTGACAAGAGGATTCTAAAATTAATATGGAAATTGAAGGGACAGAGAATAGTAAGACAAACTTCAAAAGAATAAAGTTGAAGGATTCTCACTTCCTGATTTAAAGTTACTACAAAGCTTATAGCAATCAAGACAATGTAGTACTCGCATTGGGTAGACATATAAAATAGAATACAACAAAGTCCAAATAAATTTCACATTCATAGATAACTACTTTGGCTTTCCTATTAATCTTATTATTGCAAACTACATTTAACAAACTTGCATTTTGACCATTTTAAAGTATGCAATTCAGTGGCATTAAATATATTCACAATATTGTGTATCGTTACTATTTCCAAAACATTTGCATCACTCAAAAGAGAAATTGTAAACATTAAGCAGTAATTCTCCATTTACCTCTCACCTCAGCTCCTGGTAACCTGTAATCTACTTTCTGCTTCTGTGAATATGGCTGTTCGAGAGATATCATGTAAGTGGAATCATACAATATTTGTCCTCTTGTGTCTGGCTTATATCAGTCAGCATTAAGTTTTCAAAATTCTTTCATGTTGTAACACACAGTGGAACTTTATTCCCTTTTATGGCTGAATAATACTTCATTACATATGCATACCACATTTTATTTATTTATTCATCTGTTGATAGATGTTCGAATTGTTTCCATCTTTTGGCTACTGTGAACAATGTTATGTTGAATTTAAGTGTCTGTTTGAGTCCCTCTTTTTAATTTTTTTAGGTATACACCTAGGAGGTAGCATTACTTGGTCATTCTATGCCTAGCTTTCTGAGTAACCACCAAGCTGTTTTTTACAGTGGCTGTATTATATATTCCCGTGAGCAATACATGAGGGTCCAATTTCTCCACATGCTTGCCAAAATTGTTATTTTCATTATTTTTTAATGGCCATCCTCGTGGGTGTGACGTAACCTCTCATTGTGGCTCGAATTTGCATTTCTCTACTGACTAGTGATGCTGGGGATCTTTTTATGTCTTATTGGTCATTTGTATATATTTGGAGAAATTCAAGTCCTCTGTGCATTTAAAATTAGGTGTTTTTTTTGTAGTTGTTGAGTTGTACAAGTTCTTTACATATTCTGGATTTTAAACCCTTATCAGATACATGGTTTTAAAATATTTTCCCATTCTATAGGTTGTCTTTTCACTTTCTTGATAATGTTGTTTGATGCACAAAACTTAAATTTTGATGAAGTCTAATTCATCTATTTTTTTCTTCTGTCGCTTATATTATTGGGGTCATATATAAAAATCCACTGCCAAACCCAAGGCAATGAATATTTATCCCTGTTTTCTTCAGAGCGTTATGGTTTTAGCTCTTGTATTTAGGTCACTAATCCATTTTGAGTTCATATTTCTATATGGTGTGAGGTATGGGTCATTTATTTTGCATGTGGGAAACTGGCTGATAAGGAAACTCCTTTCTCAAAGCCACTGTCACAGTTTTGACTTGGCACCCTTGTCAAAAATCAATTGGCCATAGATGTATGAGTTCATTTCTATATCTTCAGTTCTATTCCATTGGTCTACAGGTGTATTTTTTTGTTTTATGTTTTGTTTTTTGAGATGGAGTCTCACTCTGTCACCCAGACTAAAATGCAGTGGTGTGATCTTGGCTCACTGAAACCTCAGCCTCCTAGGTTGAAGTGATTCTCCTGCCTCAGCCTCCTGAGTAGCTGGGACTACAAGTGCACGACACCACTCCCAGCTATTTTTTTTTTTTTGTATTTTTAGTATAGACAGGGATTCACCATGTTACCCAGGATAGTCTCAATCTCTTGATCTTGTGATCTGCCCACCTTGGCCTTTCAAAGTGCTGGGATTACAGGTGTGAGCCACTGTGCCCAGCCTACAGGTATATTTTTATGCCAATACCACACTGTCTTGATTACTCTAAGCTTTGTAGTAAATTTTAAAGTTAGGAAGTGTGAGTCTTCCAATATTATTCTTTTTCAAGACTGTCTTGACTACCTGGGACCCTTGAAATGTCATAGAAATTTTAGGTTTGGCTTTTTTATTTCTGCAATAAAAAAAAAATGACCACTAGAATATTGATAGCAATTATATTGAATCTGTAGATAACTTTGGGTAGTACTGACATTTTAAAAAATATTAACTCTTTCATTACATAAACATGGGATGCTTTTCCACTTATTTAGGTCTTCTTTAATTTCCTTTGGCAGTATTTTATAATTTTCAATGTCTTTCACTTTTGACTGGAAAAGCAAGCATGTGTTTAGTGATTTCTAAATGAAGCCAAAATATTGATTTATACATTAAACTTTAATGAATTAGTCTTGCTTAGAACAGAATGTTCTAAAAAATCACTGTATTTCACGTAATTCCTGCGATTTATAAAAGTTATCAGAAATCATTTTAACTAAGATTAAGTAGTATTATTCCTATTTTATTTCCCCAGGAAGATCCTGTTGTCTGAATGATGCCAAAGTTTTCAATATCATTGGAAAGTCTCTATTAAATACAAAGTCGAAACTTCTAGCCTTACTTAACATGCGCATACCATCAATTAATTCTGTAAATGATTATTTGTAGTGCTTTCTACGCTTTAAGGTTCTATGGTAGAAGATAAAGCCGTAGCTTCCAGTTTTAATTTTAACAATCTAACATTGTTCTAAGAAATTGTATCTCCTACTAATGTAATTTATCACTGGTTTATTTTAAAATTTGCAATATTAAG